ATGTTGGTGCAAGGTGGGTGTGGTGGTACGTACTTGCAATCCCAGCCACTGAGGAGGCTGAGGTGGGCGGATGGCTTGAGCTCAGGAATTTGAGGCTACCCTGGACAACAGAGTGAGACTCTGTCTCTAAAAATTAAAATAATTTTTTCAAGAAGGTGGCACATATCTGTAATCCCAGTTACTTGGGAGGCTGAGGGTGGAGAATCAATTTGAGGCCAATTGGAGTAATATAGAGATACTTTGTCTCAAAATATAATACGGGGGCTGGAGATGGAGCTCAGTGGTGACAAAAAAAAAAAACAGAAAGTAGGTAGAGAAAGACATTGTTAAGCAAAGAAAGTGTTTTTATCCCCACTTTTTAGATGAAGAAACAGAGAAGTGATCTACCCAGTTATAAATCATTAGTGCGACTAGAACTGTAAACAAGGTCTTCTGAATCCTATATCACACACAGATCTCATTTTCATTTTAGGCAGCATGTTTCAAAAATAGAAAGTTTAATTTAGAATATGTCTGGTGATTCCCCACTCTATGCTTGTAGCATCATCTGTTTAGTATCTTCAGGATTACAAGGCAAGAGAACACTACGTATATCATAAATATGCTTGAGATGGAGAGCTACATTGATATTGTTTGGTATGAGTTTTATAATGGGCTTAAACAATACAGCTTAAGAAATCACTTAGTGTGGCTATATTTTTAAAGTAGCTTAGAAAGACTCTATAAGAGTTCTGGATATTTTTTGGTATTTAATCATCCTTACAGTCATACTGTTCTTGTGACTAATGTGAAACATCATGTGCATTAGGATTAATGTTTTTCCATATCATTTATGTAATATTTCACCTTTATAAAGTGTACAACCCAGTGGTTTTTTCTATATTCATCATCACTCAAATTATACATTATAGATACCCCAGAAAGAAACCTCATACCAAAAAAAAAAAAAAAAAGGAACCTCATACCTACCCATCAGCAGTTACTCCCATTCTTTTCTACCATCAGGCCCAGATAACCACTAATCTACTTTCCATCTCTGGTTTTACCCATTCTGCACCTTTCATATAAGTGGAATGACAGGAGTATCGCTGTGAGTTCGAGGCCAGCCTGAGCTACAAAGTGAGTTTAAGGCCAGCCTGAAATGCGTAGTGATACCCTGTCTCAAAAAATAAAAGTTTCATCTATGTTACAGCATGTACGAGTACTTCATTCTTTTTCTTTTTTGAGATAGGGTCTTGCCATGTTGTCCCATCTCACGTTGAACTCATGATCTTCCTGCTCGGCCTCCAAGGTAGCTGGAATTACTGGCATGCAGCACCACGCTCAGCCTCTTCATTTTTTATGGCAAAAAATATCCCATAGTATGGATAATACCACATTTTGATTTCTAAAGTGGTAGAAATTTTTTTCTACCTTTTTTTACTATTGTGAATGATACTGCTATAAACTTTGTTGTACAAGTTTTTTTACGGATGTGTATTTTTTATTTGTGTTTTGTCTTTTTTGAGACAGGGTCTCACTATGCTGTTCAGGCTGGCCTTGAGCTCACTTCGTAGCCTAGCCTGGTCTCAAACTCACAATGATCCTCTGCCTCAGCCTCCCCAAGTGCTGGAATTACAGGCATGCGCCACCACACTCAGCGTTGCACACGTTTTTTAATTCTCTTGGGAATATAGGGTGAAATTGTTGGATCATGTGATACCTTTCACCATTTGATGAACTGCCCGACAGTTCTCCAAAGTGACTACACCATTCGACATTCCTCTCAGCAGTGTTTCTCTGTATCCTTTGTAACAGTTCTTGTCCCCTACCCTCTTTTTTCTTTTCTTCTTCTTTTCTTTTTTTTAAGTTAGAGTCTCGCTATGTAGTTAAGGCTGGCTTCAAACTCACTGTCCTCCTGCCTCCGACTCCATAGTGCTGAGATTATAGGAATGGACCACCAAGCCTGGCTTTAGCCCTTTCTTTTTCATTTGGGCTATTATAATAGTATCCTAACTAGCTCTTCATCTTCTTTATAACTTCCCAAAAGTGTTTTTCTTTATCAAATACAAACGTTAAAGTTACCCACCATATAATGTTTGTAATAATCAAATCCCTATGTGTCTGTCTTTCCTGCTTCCTGTCTTTTAAAAAAAACATTTTAGTGAAAGGCTGGGGATATGGATCAAACTTGTGGTCCTCCTGCCTCACCTTCTTGAGCAGCTGAGATTATAGGTCTGCACTACCTTGCTGTTTTTGTTATTATGGCTGTGTAGTTAGTATATTTTGAAATCCACTGTCGTGGTGCCTGTAGCATTGCTTGTATTGCTTTTTGTGCTCAGAAATTGTTTTTACACTTTATGGTTTTTGTATGAATTTTAGGGGGGTTTTTTTGGCAGTACTGGCAATTGTTTTTTTTTTGTTTTGGTTTGGTTTGGTTTGGTTTGGTTTTTCTTCCAGTACCAGGAATCGAACTCATGACCTTGCACTTGCCAGGCAGGCGCTTTGCTGCTGAGCTAAATCCCCAGCCCAGGTACTGGCCATTGAACCCAAGGCCTTTGTGCTGAACTAAATATCCAACCTTTTTTTTTTATTTTGAAACAGAGTCTTGGGGCCAGGCGTGGTGACGCACGCCTGTAATCCCAGCACCCAGGCAGCTGAGGCAGGAGGATCACTGCGAGTTCGAGACCAGCCTGGGCTGCAAAGTGAGCTCAAGGCCAGCCTGAACTGCATAGTGAGACCCTGTCTCAAAAAGACAAAAAAAGAAACAGGGTCTCACTAAGTTGCCCAGGCAGAGCTTCAACTTGTGCTCTCCTATCTCAGCCTCCCCGATTGCTGGGACTACAGGCCTGCACCACCATACCTGGCTCTGTCAGAGTCAAACTGTAATCTTGAAGAAGGGTTTGACTATGGAGTGCTACAAAATATATACTCACAGCATTTATGAGGAATTATAAGATTCTGAAAATGATTTTTCAATGCCTGAATATTTCAAAAAATTCTCCCCTCCAAAGCAGTTCTTCCCCCCACCTTTCCCTTTGGTTTGCTCAATTTTGGGTTGTTTTTTTTAAAGCTATTTTGTTGTTGGGTTGTGGTAATGAAAACATTTAGTTAAACTCTGTTCTTTTTCCTCCCAATTTTCATTTCAGATGATACAGTCTTCCAGAACCCCATGGTACAAGAAGCTATACGAATGGGATTCAGTTTCAGGGATATTAAGAAAATAATGGAGGAAAAAATTCAGACATCTGGGAGCAACTATGTATCCCTTGAGGTTCTAGTTGCAGATCTAGTGAGTGCTCAGAAAGACCATACACAAGATGAATCAAGCCAGACTTCACTGCAGAAAGGTATGCATGGCTGTTTTTAAAAAGCAAGAAAAATAGCAGCACTTCATTGTGAGTAATATCTTACGTCAATCTGTGAACCCATTCATTTCTCTCCTGTCACATCGCCCTTAAGATAAACATTTTTAAAATGTTTTTATTATGAGAAATTTCAAAAATACACAACAGTGTAGGGAGTAATATAACCAAACCTCAGGTACCCTTCAGTTAGTTTCCGTAGTTACCAATACTTTGGGAGGCTGAGGCAGGGAGATCATGAGTTTGAGGCCAGCCTCGGTAACATAGTGAGATCCCATCTCAAAAAGTAAAATTCTCAGTACTTTCTCCAATCTTGCTTCTTATCTTCCCCCAAATTATTTTTTTTTGCTATAGTACTTCAGTGTAAATATTTGACAACTTACATATAGCCAATAACTAAGGGCATTTTTAAAACATAACGTTAATGTTACGTGTTTGTCTGCTCAAGCTGCTATAACAAAATACCCCAGGGGGAGGAGGAAGGGGCAGGGAAGAGGAAGGAGGAAAAAAAGAAACAAGTGGTAATATGTACATGTAACCACTCCCAAAATGATTGTGAGCTGCATGAATTGCAAACTTGTACTAATAAAAAGATCATTAAAAAATGACCACCAATTGGGTACCTAAACAACAAACATCTGTTTCTCACAGTTCCGGAGATCGGGAAGGCCAAAGTCAGGGTGCCCGTTTCCCAAGGGGGACCTTGTAGGTGGCTGCTTCCCATGGTGTCCTCATGGCAGTAGGGGAGAGGGTTTGACACATAAACATTCTTGTTTTTCGTCCTCTCCAGGGAAGGATACTAATCCCATGAGGGAGCTTTCAACCTCATAACCTCATCTAAACCTATTTAAAGTGTTGTTGCTTAACAATGGGAAATGCATTGTTAAGCAACTTTGCTGAGGTATAAACGTCATAGTGTGTGTTTACACAAACCTTCATGGTGTAGCTCAGTTATTGAAGTGGCCACTGGATACAATAAAGAGACTTGGTAAACACGAACTGTATGATAAGAAGCTCCTGCTTTCATGACATGATGTACTATTTTGTCGTACATGTCTTTTTTATAAGTAGAAGGTACAAACTCTAAAACAATGATAAAGAAAATGAGAAAGACTACAGTAAGTATATAAACCAGTAACAGTCATTTATTATTAAGTATTATGTATTGTATCTAATCATGTATGCTGAACTTTCATATGGCACAGTAATGTCTACAACAGCATCACCGCATACACATGAGTAATGTATTGTGCTACATTAGGGTGGCTGATATGTCACCAGGTGATGGGAGTTCTAGGCTGCTTTATGATCTTACAGCATCACCACTAGATATGTGCTCCCTCCTTGACAGAAACCTTCTGCAACACACGGCTGTACTTCCCCAATGCCCCACTTCCAGTTGCCATTACACGGAAGGTTAGGGCTGCAGCATGTGAATGTCGGGATCCACAAACATTCCATCTGTAATGTACTATTACTATACTTAGCAAAATAAACAGTCATTTCATAATAACATCTGAAACGTAGCTGGTTTTAATCCATCCTCCATTTTTTTTATAGTGCTGAGGATGGAACCCAGGACCTCACACGCTAGACAAGGTCTTTGCCATTAGGCTACAGCCCCAGCCCTCCTATTTTCTAAAACATTTTTACTATTGATGTAGTCAAGGTCTTCAGTATCACTGATTTATTCATTATTTTAATTGTGTATTAGTGCTATATTGTAAAAAAGAACAACAGGATTTTATTGTGTATAGAATCTTAAGTATCACAGATGAAACAATTTGATTTAGTGTATTCTGTAACTTTATATGTGAAAATAGTTTTAGTAAATGGCACCTAACACTATCAATCTTGTGTAGAAATTAGATTAAGTAGTGTAGATGAAAAGCATATAAACACCTTTTTTAAACAGATAAAAATACTAGGTAAACTGTATATATACCACATTTTCTTTATTCATGTTTATGGACATCGAGACTGTTTGCAGAACTTGACTGCTTTGAATCGCAGTACTATAAACATAGGTATGCGTGTATCACTCTGGTATGATGTTTTTTTAACTTTTTGGGGAATATACCCAAGGGAAGTATAGCTAGGTCCCGTGGAATTTCTATTGTTAGTTTTTTTAGTAATCTCCATACTGATTTCCATAGCCTCAAAAGGTTGCTTTTTTTAAAGAAAAGAATTATGTAATCCTTTCTTCCACCCTCTAACCAGAGAAACGTCTCTGAAGCACAAGTGTGATCATGTGTCTCTCCAGCTCCCAGGGTCCTCACGATCAAGTCCAGACTCCTTTATATGGCTTGTCAAAACTCTGATGATCAGGCACTTCCTATCCTTTTGTAACCTGCTTTTATGCTTTTTTCCCCTCAAGTTCAGTGGCAGGCTTTGCATGTACACTGAGGCCACGTTCCATCGTTCTCCCTTGGAGTTTGCTTCTGCCATTTCCTTGGCCCAGAAAACTCTTCTCCCACTATCCCTAGCCCCCAACACCTTCTCCCTATCCTTGTTAATGCCTACTCATTGTTTAGGACCTAATTTAGCCCTTATTTAGGCTTGCAACATGGGTGCGCACACACACACAATTAAACACACCCTTCCTGTGTTCTTCATAACACATTGTAATTGCCTTTGTCATCATAGCATATTATAATTTCCTGTTTACTTGTGTTCCTAATTTGTCTAGGAACTTTTTTTTTCTGTGGTCTAGGAACTATTGGAGGCCTGAATAAAGTCTATATATTTGTTAGTTGTATCCCTACTGCCTAGAACCTATTGAAGTGTTTAGTATTTGTTGAATATAATTAAACTATTGTTTCCCAAACATGATTTCAGAATAGTATTCCCTAGGACATTAAAAGAGATGCCACAAAAAAGGAGCTCCATAGTTAAATAGGGAAATGCATTCTATATTTCCAAGACGAGACATATGCTGCACTGTACTGCACTGTACTTGATGGTAATGCTTCCCAAATGCCAATATGCTTGATCCAAGAAATTCTAGATTTAATGAATAGGGGCCCAGAAGTCTGCCATTTAAAAATGTCTCAGGACCAGCTATGGTGGTGCACGCCTGTAATTCCAGCATTCTGGAGGCTGAGGCAGGAGGATCATTGCAAGTTCAAGGCCAGCCTGGGATACATAGTGAGTTCAAGGCCAGCCTGAATTGCATAGTGAGACCCGGTCTCAAAAAAAAAAAAAGCCTTAGGGCTGGAAATGTGGTTCAGTGGCAGGACACCTGTCCAGCATGTGTGAGGTCCTGCACTACACCACAAAAACAAAAACAAAAAACCTATACCCTAAGTAATTTGGAAACATTAGTATACAGTGGTTTACAAAGACAGTTAAAATATGTAATGCATTTGGAGTAGTACCTAGCACATAGTATTTATGCTCTATTATTACTGCTGCTTCTGTTTCATATATATGTATGACTGTGATACACATTTTTATGGCTTGGTAGCATTTCACAGAACATATTTTGGGAAAGTCTGAATTAAGCTAAGACTACAGTGTCACCTATCTGTTGATGTTGCTCAAATCTGTTATCTCTAGATAGACTTCTGACCTCAAAATTTGACTCTCCATTTGCCTGCTGGATATTTTGGTTGGAATGCCCAGCAAACACCTCGAAAAATACCTGAAAAGTATCCCAAACCTGCACCTCCTTTCGTCCTTCCTGTCATCCTCATCAGCTCCTTGTCAGCCAACTGGCAGTCTTCACGTCCCCTTTAGTTCCTTTTTCTTCCTCAGCCCTCGCATCCAAACATGGCATCCTGCCTGTCGCACTGCAGAAGTGTCGCGCACATGCAGCCCTGTCTAGAATGGGACACCCCCTTTCCATATGCTTTGTTTACCTAGCTCTTGCTTTTCTGCTAACAAATTGCTGTCCATGCTTAAACGTCACTTCTCCATTGTGCTCCTCCCCCGTGAAGCTTTCCTTAACTTGCCTGAAGAGAAGAACTTGTTCATCTTGTCCCAGAGCACTTTGTGCGTACGTTTGTTATAGCACTTCTCACTGTGTACTTTGTGCTTACCTGTGTGGCCTGCTCTCACATCCTGCCCCACTAGCCGTTTAAGAACACATTCCATGTGTGAGTCACCCCCATATCTCCCAGCACTTGCGTGTCTGGTGCACAGTAGGGGTTCAGTAAATGTTCCAGAGAATTGCAACAACTAAGAACATCTAAAGCCTACTGTATTTCTTGTCTCTTTCTGCAGAGATTAGTACCGAGGAGCAGCTAAGGCGCCTACAAGAAGAGAAGCTTTGCAAAATCTGTATGGATAGAAATATTGCCGTGGTTTTCATTCCGTGTGGACACCTGGTCACTTGTAAAGAGTGTGCTGAAGCAGTTGACAAATGTCCCATGTGCTACACAATCATTACTTTCAAGCAAAAAATTTTTATGTCTTAATCTCACTCCACAGTAAGCATGTTATGTTCTCCTTATTTTTTTTAATGTTCTCTTTATTATCCTGATTGAATGTGTGATGTGACGGTACTTTAAGTAATCAGCATTGAATTCCATTAGCATTTGCTACCAACTAGAAAAAAATGTAAACAGTAGCATTTTAGTTGGCAATCTACGCCTGGAATTCTGGATTTTTCAAGTTAGTAACTGCTATCATTTATCCAATTTTTTCATTGTTACTCCATTGAAATTAGACTAAAAAGAATCATTCTGTAACTGCTCATGCTGTCTATTTGTAGTACGCTGACTTAGTTTCTAAAGTGTAAGTGAATTAATCATCTGGATGTTGTATTCTTTTCAGAAAGGCTTAACAAATGAAGCATTCTGTATAAACGTGGAGATTATAGTTAATCTCTTCAGTCACATAGTTTGTTTTGTGTGAAAAAGGAATGAACTGTTCCACACTGGTGGAAAGATAGAAATTATTTTTAGATATTTGTCTTTGTATCTTAGGATTCTGGCCATTTTCTTTTAAAATTACAAACGTGTAAATGATTTTTAAAAAGTGATTTTGCCATTTCCAAAATGGTGCTTAATGATAGAATATCGTCTAGCCAACATGTACTGACATTGATGTTAAAGATATATTAAGTGTGACATGCAAGTGGCAGAACACTGTGTATAATATGAGCCTAATCAAGGTGTGTGTATTTTGTATCTATAATAGAGTGAAAGATTTGGACAGATATATGCACCAAATTGGTAAATGTGGTTTTTCTTGAAGGGTTGGGGTTTGGTCCCAGAGAGATTTTTAGGGGCCCTTCATTTTCTTTTTTTTTTTTTCTTTTTTTCATTTTGTTCTGTTTGAAATTTTTATAAGTATGTATTACTTTTGTAATCAGAATTTTTTTAGAAAGTGTTTTACTGATTTAAAGGCTTAGGCATGTTCAAACGCCTGCAAAACTACTTATTGCTCAGCTTTAGTTTTTCTAATCCAAGAAGGCAGGGCAATTAACCTTTTTGGTGCCAATATAAAATTTAAATGCTTGTATGTTTTACCTGCTTTGTGGATGAAAAATATTTCTGAGTGGTAGTTTTCTGACAGGTAGACCATGTCTTATCTTGTTTCAAAATAAATATTTCTGATTTTGTAAAATGAAATATAAAATATTTCTCAGATCTTCCAATTAATTAGTAAGGATTCATCCTTAATCCTTGCTAGTTTAAGCCTGCCTAAGTCACTTTACTAAAAGATCTTTATTAACCCAGTATTTTAAACATCTTTCAGCTGATGTAGGTAAAAGTAGAAGCATGTTTATACCCTGCTTGTAGTTATAGTGATGGCTTTCCATGTTGAGACTCTCATGGCATCTTGTATCTTGAAGTTTCATGTGAGTTTTTACTGTTAGGATGATTAACATGTATATAGGACAAATGTTAAGTCTTTGCTCTGCCTACATTGTTTTGTTGTTGTTTTCTTGACTAGTAATAGTAGTAGATACCTTTAAAAATGTTCTCTCAAGATCCTTAAAACTCTTGGAAATGATAAAATAGTAATAGAAGAATAGTTGTTTTAAATATTTTTTAAGAACTTGAATACGAGTCAATAGGAAAGTTTTAATAGTCCTTCACAGAATAGCTGGAATTTACATTCTCATGACAGATGTATTTAACAGCAAGTAGGGCATTTTATTTACTGCAGAGAACTGTTTAAGAGTGAAAGTGTTAAAAGTCATATTTTTGTTATATTTTCCAAGAGAAAGAGTATTGTTATGTTCTCCTAACCTGTTAACTGCTGTGAAGTGATACTCATAAAACATCGCAAATTTAAATGAGCATTGCAAAAATTAAATAATGACTACCCTATTTTTATTATGCAAATCCTGAGTTCACCTTTGCACTGTCTTTCACTTAGGTTTGCTTATATAGTCGTTAAGTTGAATTTGATCTGTATAGGCAAAGCTTTAAATTTATATTGAAAGCATTCTATAAAGGGAGAAAAGTGTTAAATCTTTAAAAGTATTTTCTCCAGGACACGTCAGGTCCAAGTCCGGCAGGTAGTAGAATCTAGTTGTCACAGCATAAGGCTTTTACTGCTTGCGAAAGCTCAGTTCATTAAAGCTCGTCTTTTAAAACGTGTGTTTCGAGTTAAGCAAGACCTTTTTCTCCCTCCGTGAGTGGTGGAATTTGATGCATGAAGCTGATGCGGCTAACAAGTTTATTTTAAGAATTGTTTCAAAATGCTGTTGCTTCAGCACTCCAACTTCTAATCAAATGTTTTGGAGACCTACCAGAGTTTGCCTGTATTCACACTACAAAAAAGCACTGGATCTTTTCCATTTAATTGTACAAAAATTGATCATTTGCAAGGTCAAAAATACAACCAGATCCACATCACCACCCACTCCCCACAATAGTTCTCAGTAGCTGCATGTATATATTTCTATATAAAGTTCACTTTAGAACTTCAAATTTAGCACCTATTTTACTACATTTTAGTCATGTGAAAGTTGAAGTTATTTTGTAATAAATACTTATCTTTATATGCAAAAGTTAGTGTTCTGATCAAAAACTTTGCCTTTTGAGAAATGATTTTAGCATTTATAAAATAAATTCCAGTTTTAATGGCTTTGTATTGCCTTTCCTGCTAGATTAGGTTTTCCCCCCTCCCTTTGGTTAGTGGCTGAGGTGGGCTGGAGTGAATGTAGCAGGTGTATGTAACATTTTGGTTATGTGTATTATGATACTTTGTTGTGTTTTTGTTATATTATTTAAATTTGGGTAGTTTTCCTGTTTTCATCTTAGTGGATAAAAATTTGTATTTTGAATTCTGAATGAAGGCTACCACCCTAGTGTTAGTTGTATATATTGTTTCCTTTAGACTCAAATCATTGTTTTATTACTGATAACCCAAATGATTGAGGAAGGAGGTGAAAGGAGTGGAAGAAATGGGAAAGTAGTATGTCACTGCCATTACAGAACTCAGAAAATGAGGAGGAATATTTGACAGACATAGTTCTTTTTAGTCAGATCTGTTTAAAAGAAGGTAACCATTTCTGCACCCATGAACTGAGACTAATACCTGTCTTCCAAGGTTATGAGAGTTCAGGGAGATCATACCTTCAAAGCACCTGCTATAAATGTTAATTCTCATCCTAATATTCTTTTGTGTTTCTATAGGTTTGCCTTGACCTAGAAAATTGGGCTGAAACTTAGAAACAAGTCTTACATAATAGCTCTTGGTGATTATTACTCATCTTTTTTGGTGTTTCTCATAGTGAAGACACAAATTACAGTAAATAGGTCAAACTCTTAAAAATATTTACATTCTTGAAAAATTTTTCCAAGACAGTTATTCTTACTAATTTCAGTCCAGCTTTTCTAAAAAAAAAAAAATTTACGTCACCCCACGTAATAACCAGTTTTAATTTGACTCATACACTTAATACAATGTGGATTTCCATCTCAGCATAGTAGAATCTTAGAGGGTCAGAACTGTAAGTGACTTGAGAGAGGATCTAATTCGTCCCCTTCATTTTACAGGTCTGGCAACTGGGGCTCAAGGGAGAAGTAATTTATTCAAAGCTATATAACTATAGTGGGAGAAACCTGACTGGGACATAATTTGAAGGTGAAAAATTTCACCAACCTACCTTTCCTGGGAAGTCTCAAATGTTTATTTTTTTCAAATTTTCTTTCCAGTATACCCTAACGTTCACTACATACTAAGTGACACTTTATAATTGATACAATAGGACAATCTAAATTACATATATCTTCAGATTAGGTAGTACTTACTACGTTAATGTTTGGGTAGTAAGATTCTCTTTTGAAGTCTGAAGTTTGCAGAGATGTATACAGATCTTTGGCTTTTACACATGATTATTGTATATCATTTAATGTAACATTTAAAATTACTATGTAAAAGCCAGGAGTGGTGGCACACAGCACTCGGGAAGCTGAGGCAGGAGGATCACAAGTTCGAGGGCAGCCTGGGCTAAATAGTGAGTTCAAAGGTAGCCCACACTACAAAGAAAGACCCTGTCTCAAAAAAAATTACTGTGTAAGTATATTTTACCATTTTGTGTATACTTAGTAACAAATCTGCATTTTTTATTTGCTGTAGCAGACTTCGATGTAATTTCTGTTAGTTTTTGCATTTTTCATTACTGTGACACAATTTAAGGTCACAGAATGACTGATTCTTACGTCATTGTGTTAGTATTGTGAATAATCATGTGAAATGATTCAAGACAGAGTACTATATTTGTGAATATAATTTTATGGCTTTTATTTCATTTAGTAGGAGCCTCTCTATTGGTATGGAAAACTAAGAAAATTGATTTCTGCTGTATAATCTAGCATTTGTTGTAGATTAAAGCTTATTTTTCTGTGAATGAAACATATTCAATAAAGTACTATTCTTTAAAATTATATTTTATTACATTGCATTTGTTTTACTTTTTTTTTTTTAACTTGGTGGTTACTGAGGCTTGAACCCAGGACCTTCATACTGAGCTACATCCCCAGACTTTTTTTATTTTTTATTTTGAGATAAATTCTCACTAAATGTCTAGATTGCCCAGGCTGGCCTTGGAGTTGAAATCCTTCTTCCTCAGCTTTCTAGTCCACTAGGATCACACTCTGCTGGTGACCACACCCAGCTTTTTTTACTTTCTTAGGATGCAATAAAGTACCCCTCTTAAAAATACTAAAATGAGAGTTGGGAGTATTGCTCAGTGGTAAAGTGCATGCCTGGCATGCATGAGGCCCTGGATTTAATACCCAGCACCAAAAGAAAGGAAAATAAATCTTTTAAATATATGGAAATATAAACGGTAGTTTTCCTTCTCTCCACAGATACTAACTTGGTTGCCCCAGTAGGTAGTATAGTCTTTAAAACAAAATTTGAATATCGGGGCATGGTGGCTTACACCTGTAATCCCAGCACTCAGGAGGCTGAGGTAGGAGGATCCTTGTGAGCTCAAGGCCAGCCTGAACTGTATAGCGAGACCCTGCCTCAAAAAAGACAGAAAAAGGGGGCTGGGGATTTAGCTCAGCGGCATAGCGCCTACCTGGCAAGTGCAAGGTCGTGAGTTCAATTCCCGGTACTGGAAAAAAAAAAAAAAAAAAAAAAAAAAAAAAAAAAAAGGCACATACACACAAAAAAGACACAAAAAAATTTGAACAAGCACATAACAGTTAACCTAGAAAGCCACTGTCTCTTTGAGGCCAGCAGCAAAAAAGGAGTTTTGAGTTTGAACCTGCAGCCACCTCCAAAGTTTCAGAAGCTATGGGCAGCTGATGGGATAAGGACTGAGGGAAGAGCTGGGGATTGGGCTCAGCAGTAGAGTCCTTCCCTAGTATGCATGAGCCCCTGAGTTTGATCCCCAGCTCTGCAAAGAAGAAACAAGAACAAGGGAATAAAGGGTCCTGTGACAGAAATTTAGAAGTAGATAGTTTGTGGCTGTCTCCCTCCCTACAATGGAAGTTCCAAAACAGAGAGTTAAGATTTCAGGTGTAGACTACATAGGGACTGGCTGTCTAATCTTTGACAACAGTACCACTGTTACATGAGACAAATCATAACCTTATCATAAATGCAGTCTTTTCAACTAATATTAATCAAGATGGGGATTTTTTTTTCTTTGTCTTTCTGAAACAGGATCTCACTATGCAGTTCAGGCTGGCCTTGAACTCCTTTTGTTGGTACCAGGAATCAAACTCAGGACCTTGCACTTGCCAGGCAGGCTCTGTGCCACTGAGCTATATCCCCAGTCCTTGAGTTCACTTTGTAGCCCAGGCTGGTCTCAAACTTGGACGGATCCTTCTGCCTCAGCCTCCCGAGTGCTGGGATTACGGGCGTGCACCACCACGCCCGGCTCAACAAGGGGATTTTTAAGACGTCTATTACACAAAAGTGGAAAGTATAATGAAGCCATGGTACTCATCAGTTAGTTTCAAAATGTTGGTACCAGTGTCTTCCCCACCCACCCACACATACTCTGCACCCCAGGAACAATATTTGTTCCTCCTGTAATTACTTCCTTTTTGTTTTGTTTTCGAGACAGTGTCTCGCTATATAGTTCAGGTTAGCTTTGCACTCACTATGTAGCCCAGGCCTGCCTTGAATGTGCAGCAATCCTCCTGCCTCAGCCTCCTGAGTGCTGGGATTACAGGCATGTGCCACCAGTCTCAGCTACTTCCTTACCTATTTTTAACAGGTAAGAAAAAAATTTACATAAACGTATTTTTACAGCTTGGCATGGTAACACATACTCTTGGGAGGCTGAGGCAGGAAGATCACAGGTTTGAGCCCAGCCTGGGTTACATTGTGACACCCTGTCTCAAACAAAACAAAAAATGGTGAATGTTTAACTTACCACAATTGTTACTGACCTCTAATGGACATCTAATCAAAAATCAACTCCAAGCCAGGCATGGTAACAAATGCCTGTGATCTCAGCACTTTAGTAGAGTGAGGCAGGAGGATCCCAACCCACAGCTCAGCCTTGTCAACTTAGCAGCTTAGTAACACTACCATACCTCAAAAATACAAGGGCTGGGGGATGTAGCTCAGTATGCAGGCCCTAGGTTCAATCCTTAGCACCACAAAAGAAAGAACTTCTTTTTCCTTTATTTGAATATTAAGGGAAGTAAAATCCCCAAAACATGACATTTTAAAAAATACTTTGGCTAGGGGTGTAGCTCAGTGGTAGTCCACTTGCCTAGCATGCACAGGAACCCAGGTTCAACACTCAGCATCACACAAAAAAATGTATTCCAAACCTTTAAACCACGTTCTCACTATTTCATTTGGCAGTTTGCTTACAAACTGTGGAATGAATATGGTACTTATTAGCAGTTAGGCCATGCTGGGCATCAGTGGCGCACGCCTGTAATCCCAGCACTCGGGAGGCTGAGGCAGGAGGATCGTTGCAAGTTTGAGACCAGTCTGGGCTACAAAGTGAGCTCAAGGGCAGCCTGAACTGCATAGTGAGACCCTGTCTCAAAAAGAGAAAAAAAAAAAAAAAAGGGAAAACCAAGGTAACTGCATGATATGCGGGTGCCTGGTACTTTTCAGTGTGGTCCCAGGAGTTGTATGACCTGAGAATTTGTAAGAAATTCAAATTCTTCATGGTACCCATGGTATGCATCACACCATATACATATGTTAAAACCATAATGTGCCCCATAAAGGTGTACAAGTATTGTGGCTCGAAACATTCAAATCCTTGGGCTCCTGCCCAGACCTACTAAACCAGAAACTTTGGAGTTTAACCCAGATACCTGTGTGTTAAGGAGCCCTCTATGTGGTACAGGTGCAGGCTGAGGTTTGAAAACCAGGGCTGGGGACATAGCTCAGTGGTAGAGCAGTTGCCTAACATGGGTGAAGCCCTGAGGCCCTGGGTTCAGCCCTCAATACTGAAAAGTTTGAAAACCAGTGCAGTGTGTTCTGAAGTGTGATGTAAGAAAGAACTAACAGACTGAAACCTAAATCAGTCAGTGTAATTCTCTGTGAATAAGTAGCAACCTCACCTTCTTTCCCAGTAACTCATTGTTGACCCAATTGTGTATTTTCGCTTTGAAAGAGAAAATAGTGCCTTCTGATGGAAGTATAAAATCTATCTTGGAAAGTCCCTTCTAATTCTACGTTTCAGAAATACTTCCTTGTATATAATATACAAGTTGCAATTGAAGACTATAGTGAAGGCTGAGGCAGGAGGATCACCTGGAGTTTGAGGCCAACCTGGGCTACATAGTTCAAGGCCAGCCTAGGCTGCATAGTGAGACGCTGTGTCAAAAAAAGAAAGTGGCAAGCAAGTTAGAGTGAATGTTTAAATGTTCTGCATTAGAGGACACATTTGCCATTAATCCCCCTCAGAATCCTCCCCTCACTTTGAGCACACTTACCCCATCATTCTTGCCACTATCCGAAGCAGTTTTGGAAGTCTTCGATGTGTTTAGTTGCATTGTTATGGCTGAATCGATTCAAAGTGTTTACCAGTGTTTACCCGTCACAGACATTTCAACTTTGGAGCAGAGCCAGAAGTTGCGTGGTGGCACATCCGGTGAATAAGGTGGATGAGGGCTGGGGATTTAGCTCAGCAGCAAAGTGCCTGCCTGGCAAGCGCAAGGTCGTGAGTTCGGTTCCCGGTACCAGAGGAAAAAAAAAAAAGAATGAGGTGGATGAGGACACACCCTGACACTTTTACAAGCCCGCCTTTCCATTGAGTGACACACAGCAGCAGCTTGTCCTAAACACACAAGACTTCCAGGACTGCTTCAGAAAGTGGCAGGAAGGATGGCCTGGTATGTTCACAGTGAGGGGAACTATTCAGAAGGGTTATTTGCAATGTGTATTTTACTGTAATAGTTTTTTAAATTAAAAAATTCACTGTATATGTGGCCCACAATTCATACATTTAGCTTTGTAATGAGAATGTCTTCAACCCTGTCACTGTCGAGTGCAGAACATTGCTCATTGCCAGCATTGAGCCCAACCATTGCTCATTGCCACTAAACTGTCCTTCACACAAGCAGTGAAAGAGTTAAGTAAGTATTGGAAGGCTCACTCATAAGCGCTAGTACAGCAGCAACCAGCTGAGATTGTGCAGAACAGACCTGCACTTCTAGAGAGAG